TCGAATTCTACCTTGCAAGTCTGGCTAGACCAGAAGATAGGAACTGGAAATACAGGGAATCCAGGGTGGATGATCCCTACAGGACCAGTGGTGTGAGTGGCAATACTGGGAGTGTAGAGGGAGAGTGGGTAGGAAAGCAGGAACCGATCACAAAGAACTATATGTGACCTCCTCCCTGGGGGACGGACAACTGCAAAATGGGTGAAGGGAGACGTCGGACAGGGCAAGATATGACAAAATAATAATTTATAAATTATCAAGGGCTCATGAGGGAGGGGGAACGGGGAGGACCGATCACAATGATCTACATATAACCCCCTCCCAGAGGGACAGACAACAGAAAAGTGGGTGAAGGGAGACCTCGGTCAGTGTAAGACTTGACAAAATACTAATAATTTATAAATTATCAAGGGTTCATGAGAGAGGGAGGGGGGATGGGGGGGAATGAGAAGCTGATACCAAGGGCTCAAGTAGAAAAAAACATTTTGAAAATGATGATGGCAACAAATATACACATGTGCTTGATACAATGGATATATGTATGGATTGTGATGAGTTGTACAATAAATGATTTTTTTTAAAAGAAAGTAAAAGATGTACAGTCTTGAAAACCCTATATGGTTTTGCTGTGAGTCAGAATTGACTCCTTAGCATGGGGGATTTTTCACAATATCTCTTCTCATTATTTTCAATTTGATTGTTCTTTTTATATTGATCTATCTTCCCTACCTCTCCCTGTTGCCCCTTAGAGTCCCATTTTTTGCTTTTGGGTAAATATTGACAGGTTTTTTTCTCCTTGAAACATGTGTATATAGACATTTGATTGGATCTGAAATTCTTTATTAATAGTAGATTCCCATTCTTGATTTATGGTATTTCAAGTTGCATTTGTTGAGCATTATATAAAATTATTCAAGCCAATAGAACTCAGATATAGGGTTGGTGGTGGGCATAGCATTGCCATATATGCTGAAGGCAACGTTTTATTTATAATTTTTGCTTTTACTCTTCAGGCTTCCTCATTTGGATATGTGGAATGAATTTTTCCACACCATGTTGAACATACCAGACTGTCATCAGCTTCCCTCTTTGGATTTGTTAAGGCAAAAGCTGAGGAATATATTACACCAACACTATTCAAATAAGATTAGGAGTCTGCGTAATAGGCTAATTGTACTGCTCTTAGAATGCAAGCGTTCACGAAAATAACAATGGATAGAAACACTCCTTAGAAATAACTTTATAAATGCTAGCTTCTCTTTGTTTGTGTAAATGTTTGTTAAAAATAAAGTTGATAACCTTTATTCATGCAACACAGTTGTAGCTATTTCAACAAGATACAACACAATGAGGTCCCCGTATAGCAGCTAATTTGGCTCCTTGAGGATTCAGGCACACATGCACGAGAATCATTTGGATGTGAACACTATCTAGAAATCATTTCTTAAAAATTTTTTACCTGGAAACTAGAAAGGGCCGAGATAGCAATTGTGTTTGTTTAAAATAGTGAAGTTCTACAAATATTCATAGGACTTAAGATGCTTTTGAGTAAAGTTTGTCTATCCTTTATTGTACCTGTTTTTCATTGCTACCTATTACAGGTATAAATTCTATTTTTTTAAGAGCCATTCAAAGAAAACTCTCAAATCTTTAAAATAATCTAATAATCCATATAAATCAATTCAATCTAAAGCCACAACACTCAATTCTACATTTATTAACTTTTAAAGCAAAAGGGCCTGGAAGGGCCCTCCTAACCCTAAACTGACCTTCCTGCCCGCCCTCCCTTCTCTCTGTGCATAGCGTTCTAGTGGACACCATTCTCCCCAAGGCCCAGAGCTAGAGAGGACTACTTTGTTTCCTTCAGCTCTCGTTGTAGCCACCATCTTTCACAGCCCACTCGGTGAAGTCTACGTCCGAGTCTGAGTTCTCTTGAGAAACAAGAACAGCGAAGTTCCTGGAAATGTCCATTATTGTCTAAATTCCATTTTTCTGTGGTCTTGTATTTTGTTTTGATTATATGTGCTTGCTCTATCTCTTTACTGTTTATAGCTACTAACCCCCCCCCTTTATAACTAATTTCTGTCACTATCCCAGATATTGTTTTCTCTCTTAAATTTTGAATCAGATGCAAAATAAATTTTTCCAACTTTATCTGTTTTCAATTATGATAGCTTAATAGGGACTAAATTTCCCCACCCACTTGAACAACAACAACAACAACAAATATATATATATATATAAACCATTTTCAAGATACTGAACATTATGCAATAAAGACAGCCATCACATATAAATGTGCCTCTTAGACTAAAATGTATACATAAGGGTGGAAGACTGATGTATAAGTTACATATTGTGACAAAACTGAAATAATGCATAAGGGAGAGAGGGTAAAAAAAAGCTCATCACAAAACTTCCCAGAGATGCAGCTGAGGGTAGATTTCATGTCCTGGGGAGGAGCCCTGGTGGTGTAGTGGGTCACTGGGCTGCTAACCACAAGGTCAGCAGTTCCAAACCACCAATCACTGCAGGAAAAGGGTGAGGCAGTCTATTTCCATAGTGGTTTAGTCTAGGAAACCCATAGGAGCAGTTCTACTCTGCCCAGTAGGATTGCTGAGTCAGTATTGACTTGATGGCAGCGAGTTTCATGTGCTGGTGGTTCTGTGAGCTAACTGCATTGGCCTGCTAACTGCAGAGTCAGTGGTTCAAATGCACCAAGTGTAAAAGCAGACCTGAGCAAATACACTGAAACCCACGAGAGCTAGAACTCAACAGGGCTGCCTTCTGACAGAGTGCACCTGTTTAAGTGGAAAATATTTTTTTCTCCTGTGACAGGTTTCCACCTTACCCAGGTTCTACCTTTTGGAAGTTTTACTGTAAACCCAACTGATTTTTGTTTGGGGTTTTTTGACACCAGCTGCCCCTCACGTGGCATTTTTGACACCAGCTGCCCCTCGCGTGGCACCACTGCTATTCTTGGCTCAATAGTCCATTGTAATGCCACTCATGACTCACTGACACTACTTACTGTTAAGTGAATTATTAAGGAAGCAATCGGGTCTAACTTGGGATCAAGATCAGGAAGCACAACAGCAAATCTGTAAGCTCCTCCAAAGTAACACATCCCTCCCTCCCCTCTTCAGATCAGCACAGCTCTCAGCTCCCCATGGCCTTGCAAACAAGCAGGCCCTACTCCGCTGAGCACGACCCCTTCGGCCTTGTAGCCCTCCTCTAGTCCAGGTGCGTTTGTCTAGATCACTAAACTAACCATTAATGTTCTCCTGAAGTACATTTTTATTGTGAAATTAAAGAAAGTGGTCAATTATACATACGTATAGCCAAACTATAGTCTTACGTAGACCTGTGTGATGGGTAAGGCTGTAGTGCCCCCTGGTGGCGACATGGTGCCACTGACGTTTCTAGGGTAATTTGACCCAATCATCTTTCTCTGAGACACATATCTACTGAAGTATTCACACATGAAAAACACTAAGAAGACGTATCCCATTATTGCTTAATGCCAAACACAGGACTCAACATGTAAGTTCATCAACAGGTGTGGGTTTAATTATGAAATGATGGTATGGAATAGTTGTCAATCTTTTAAAAATAACAAATTTACTATGTGTACATATACACAAGCATACATCAACATGAAATAACTACAGGAGAATAAAAAAATCAAATCACTGAACAATATACATGAAAAATGTCATCGCATCCCACTGGTGAGTTTACAAAGATTATTCTATACGAGGATACATGATATACATGACTGTACATGGATGGGAGAAGCAGACTCAGAAGGCGTGTCAGATTGTGTGACAGCATTAAAGAGGAGGAATATGAAGAAGAAAGGTAAAGAGCAGCTTTGAGTTATTTAACTATACTTCTGTATCGAATGTTTGCAATAATTATTGTAACTAAATACAATGAAGTCGAATTCTAATTTTAAAAGAAATACTCAACATAAAATTGTTATGACTCAGTATATTTGATTTTATTCTTTGCGTAATATAAATGTTAGACACAGTATAAAAGGAAAGGCAGATCACACCGGGCAGGGTAGTCAGAACCTAGGAAGGTCTTCCTTCCTTCTGGGATTCCTCAGGTTAGTCTGACTGCAAAGTACCAATGCCCAAACACCAGGGCAGGATTTCAAGCCAGGAATGTACGAGATGAAGTAAAAGCTCAGCAACAACAAAATCTGTTACTAGGGTTCGAGTCATGCACAGGTTTATAAAAAACAAAATGTTTCGACATATCTTCTCAGTGATCAGTGGGTGGCTGCCAACAACTTTTCTTGAGAATACACTTGTATTAGCCTCATTAGGATAGCTTTGAAAACTAAGGTCCAGTCAAAACTGGCTTCCAGTGAAATGCAAGGCACAGAGCTCGGCACCGAAGATCATGATGAGTGTGTTTTGGGGAGCACAAAGAGGTAACCTTGATTAGCTGTGTTCTTTAAAGAACACAGGGCAGTCACGGGGGCTTCTATGAAGACGTGTTAAGGAAATGGACACTGCACTGGTGGGACAAAGGCCAGGAAAATATCAAGGTCTGTTCCCCACCATGACACCACCTGCTCATCCAGGGGTAGCGGTGTCCTAGGAGAATTCTTTGGGAAGCTGTCCCCCATCCGCCCTATGGCCAGGTTTTGCTCCTGTATGCTTTTAAACTTATGTCCCAAACTCAGTATTTAAAAGGAGGGCAGTTTGAATCTCTTGAGGATGTCCAAGCTGCCATTTGGACAGGGTGTAAATCAAAGAGCACGGGATTCTCTGAGGGAAGTGTCACAGCGATGAAGCTCTCCTTCAAACGTGTATAAACCTAGAGCAAGGCTGTGTTAGAAATGATTGCTTCACATTTTGATGTTTTTGTTCATAAAGATGTGTGTGACTTTGTAGCAATACTTTCTGACTTGCAGTGACAGACTCCAACCCAACACTGATCGTAGATTGGGCACTCTTCCGTCCACCTCTTCCTTCAGTCCCCACTGTCTTGTGCCATAGGGATCACCTATCCTAGTTTACAGATGGGGAGACGGGGACATCAAGGTAGAGTGGCATAGTCCTTGAAACCAGTCATGCTCCAGCCTCCATGCCTCAAAGTGATGCTTAGAACATTGGAAGAAAAGTTCCTACAAGCTTGCTTCAGTTACTACTTGGAATGTGCACTCAAAGCCTCAGGCCGTGAAGAAATGTCCCCCCAAGCTCCTGGGGCTAGTAAAAATGTACAGAAGAACGAGGGAGGGGCAGGCTCAGCTGGCTCTGGGAATTGCACCTGGCTAAACTGCCATTGCCCAGTTTCTGTCAGCGTGTCTGAGTAAGGGGCTTATACAGTCCTTTGATGCTAGAAGCTATGTCACTAGGATTTCAAATACCAGCAGAGTCAACCCAGAGTCACAGGTTTATGCAGTGCTTCCAGACTAAGAAAAGACCAGGAACCAAATGATCCACTTCGAAGGAATTAGCCACTGAAAACCTTATGAATAGCAAGAGAGCACTGTCTGATAGTGCTGGAAGATGGACCCCTCCGGGAGGAAGGCACGCAAAATACAGTTAGGGGGCTGGGGAGCGCGGCCTCCTCACAGGACAGTTGGCCTCAATGATGTGAATGGAGTAAAGCTGTTGGGACCTTCATTTGCTGATGGGACACAAAAAATGAGAAGTGATGCAAACAATTATTAATAATTGGGATGTGGAATACATAGAATACCGATCTCTGGAATTTGGGAATCATCACATTTAAATGGAATGCATATGCAAGGCATGAGTGAACCAAAAGAGTTTGGTATTGGCCACTGTGAATCAGATACGCGTGTGGTTCTCCATGCTGGGGATGTCAAAGTCAAAGAGTGACTTTCCAGGCATCACCCAAAAGAACATTTCACCCTCTATCTTGAGTACAATACTGCTTGTGATAGGATAGTATCTATACGCTTACAAGGAAGACCAACTAATACAACTATTGTTCAAATGCATGCTCCAGTGAACGAGAAACCGAAGAATTCTACCCACTGTTGAAGTCTGAAATTGATCAAACATGCAAATGAAGAGGAGTTGTTTGTTCCTGGTGATTGGAATGCAAACGTGGGACATAAAGAAGGATCTTTAGTTGGCATATATGGTCTCATTGATAGAAACCAAGCTGCAGATCTCATGGTTGAATTTTGAAAGACCAATGATTTCTGCTCCATTGAAATACTCTTTTGTCAACAACATAAAAAGCAACTATATATGTGGACCTCACCTGATAGAATACAGAGGAATCAATCTAACTCTATCCGTGGGGAGAGATGATGGAGAAGTTCAATAGCATCAGCCAAAACAAGGTCAGGAACCGATTGTGGAATAGATGATCAATTACGCATATGCAATTTCAGGTTAACGTTGAAGAAAATCAAAACAAGTTCTAGAGCTCTAAAATACAACCTTGTACATATCTGACCTGAATTTACACACCATCTCAATAGATTTGACCCACTGAACACAAATGAAAAGTAATGGAATGACTTCAAGCTCATACATGAAGAAAGCAAAAATTTATTAAAAAGACAGAAGAGAAAGAAAACAAAGTGGGTGTCTGAAGAGACTCTGAAACTTGTTCTTGGTTGTAGCAAAAGCAAATGGAAGAAATGAAGTAAAAGAGCTGAATAGAACTTTTTTTTTAATAGGGTTTCTAAAGCTGTAAATCTTTTTTTCTTTTAATCAATTTATTGGGGCTCATACAATTCATCACAATACATAGATCAATTGTGTAAAGCACATCTATACATTTATTGCCCTCATTATTCCCAAAATTCGCTTGCCTCTTGGGTGAATAGAACATTTCAAAGGGCAGCTCAGGAAGACAAAACAAAGTATAAAGTATGCAAAGACCTGATGTTAGAAAACCAAGAGGGAAGCACATACTCAGGTTCCCAAGCTGCAAGAACTGGAGAACAAATTCAGGCCTTGAGTTGTAATATTACAAGATTTTATAAGTAACATCATATGATGCAGCAAGCATCAAAAGATGCAAGGAATACACAGAGTCACTGTCCCAAAAAGAATGGGTCAATCGTTTCACAAGGTAGCACATGATTAAGAATGGGTGGTATTAAAGGAAGAAGTCCAAGCTGCACTGAATATATTAGTAAAACAAAAAAAACAAGGTTCCAAGAATTGACAAAATACCAGTTGAGATATTTCAGTAAACCAGGGTGATGAAGTCTGGCCATTGGACCGAACAAGGCCCATGAGGTCATCAATACTAGCTAATATCACATGCCTTACCAAAGAGAAGCCGTTCCAATCATCACATTAAACTCATTGCCATGGAGTCAGTTCTGACCCATAGTGACCCTACAAGACCGGGTAGACCTGCCATTGTGGGTTTCTGAGGCTGAAACTCTTTATGTAAGTAGAAAGCCTCGTCTTTCTTCTGTGGAGCGGCTGGTGTTTTGAACTACCGACCCTGTGGCCCAGCCTACCGCATAACCCACTATGCCACCAGGCCTCCTTAACAAAATGTTTGACTAAATATATCAGGCCAATTTTTAAGTTGGAAATTTTATATGGCCCACAAATGATGTTATAGCTAGCTATCCAAGTAGCCCTTGGCAGAAAAAAGGTTCCCACACCTGCAAACAAACCGACGCAGCACTGAGAGCACTCACTGGTCTCTGCCAGGGAATTTGGGAAACAGCTACCTGGCCAAACACCTGGAAGAGAGGCATATTTGGACCCATTCCAAAGGTCACCAACAGTGGAAATTATCAAACAATATTGCTAATATCACATACAACTAAAGTTCTGTGAATAATTCAAAAATATTTGCAGCAGCACATTGAAATTCCAGCTGAATTCAGAAGAGGATGCAGAATGAAGGATAGCATGATGGACGCTAGGTAGATGTGGGCTGAAACCAGAGAATATCAGAAATATGTTCCCTTGTGTTTTATTGACTATGCAAAAACACTTGATTGTGTGGATCATAAAAACTATGGGTAACACTGGAAGAATGGGGATTCCAGAACACTTCGTTGTGTCATGCAACACCTGTAAATGCCAGTGGTCCTCACAGAACAAGGGCATACTGCATAGTTTCAAATTAGGAAAAGTGTGGGTCATGCTTGTATCCTCTCCCCATACTTATTAAGTTTGTATGCTGAGCAAATGATCCTAGAAACTGGACTATGTGGAGAAGAACACAGCCTCAAGGTGGAGGAGGACTCATTAACAATGAGCGAATTTAGATGGCATAACTTTGCTTGTTAACAGTAGAGAACGTGAAGCCTCTGCTGATGAAAATCAAAGACTAAGGCCTTCATCGATTGAAATCATCATAACTCAATATAAAAAACACCAAATCCTCATAACTGGCTCAACAGATGACATCATGATAAATGAACAAAATATTAAAGCGGTCATAGGTTCCGTTTTACTTAGATCCACGATTGGCACTCATGGAAGCAGCAGTCAAGAAGTCAGATGATGTATGATTGCATTGGGCTGTCAAATCTGTTTCAGAAGAGCTCTCTAATGCGTTAAAGAGCAAAGTGGTCATTTGGAGGATTAAGGTGCGCTTGACCCGAGCCAGGGTACTTTCAATTAGCTCCTAGATGCATGTGAAACCTGAGCCATGGGTGAAGAAGACTTGGTGCATTTGAATTACGGTGATGGGGAAGAATACTGAAAGTACCAAGGCTTCCAAAGGAACCCACAAATCTGGCTCAGAATAAGTACAACCAGAAAGGTCCTCAGACGGTGGTCTGGTCTTGTGTACTTTGCACATGTGATCAGGAGAGGCCAGTCCCTGGAAAAGGACGTCATGTTTGGGAAAGCAGAGGGGCAGTTAAAAAGCGGAAGGCCCTCAGTGAGAGGGGTGGGCACAGTGGCTGCAGCTATGGGCTCAAACATGGCGACTGTGAGTACGACACAGGAGCAGGAGTGTTCAGTTCTGAGTTTCCCCAAGAGTCGAGCCAACTTGTTGACCCCGAGCAACAACAGACCATCGGAGGCCTGATGGTATCAAGGGTTAAGTGCCTGGCTGCTACCTGCAAGGTCAGTAGTTGTAACCCACCAGCTGCTCTGAGGGAGATAAACAACACTTCCCCACATGGTGAGTATGAGTTGGAACTGACTCCATGGCGGTGGTGGTGGGTCAAATGCAATTGTGATGTCATTGTGTTTTCACATCCTTTTTTTTCTTTTTCCATTTTCATGAAACACTATGGTTAAAAGCTATTATACTAGAAAATGAGCTGATTCCGGGAACCCAAGAGGCAAGCGAATTTTGGGAATGATAGGGCAACAAATGTATAGATGTGCTCTACACAATTGATCTATGTATTGTGATGAGTTTTATGAACCCCAATAAATTGATTTTTTTTTAAAAAGCTATTATACTAGAACGTATTTCTTTGCCACATTTAAATGCCCATAATTCACACATATAATGTTGTAACGCAGTATCAGTTTTATAGAATAGTAAAAATACTATATAAAGATGAATGAAAAACTTTCATATCCCCATTGAAAAGGCTTTACCCATGTCCATGCATGTATATAAAAAGTGCTCTGTTCGGATCATCTCTGCATGAACTTCCCTCCTTGCTTCCATGAGGACTCGAGGACGATCCCAGGGCAAGGTGCACAGGGGCAGTGTCTCCACACCTCTTCCTCAGGACAGGTAAGGCTCGTTCACCAGGTAAGGAGAACGCAGGGAGGAGCCCAGGCTGGGCAAATGATCTCCAGGGAGCATATGCCAAACCTGACGACAGCTCAGCTTGGCTCCACTTGTGGGCCCTTTGAAAGCTCAGTGTCACGCGCTGTTTTCAAAGTTGGGGTTCTTTGGATATATGTCACTGGGGGAGAAGCTCAGAATCTCATCCAAGGAAGGGCCGTCATCTTCTGGAGCAATTTCAGACTCAAACATCCGCTGCAGCAGAGCGTCCACCGTCTTATACTCTAGGAGGAAGGGCAGAGGAGGTGAGACCTGTGTCTGTAATCCACCAACCTAGACCTGTTCCTATGGAGCTCACTGGCCACAGTAAGCTCTGGAGATCACAAAGTCTTTCCTTGAGCAGAATAAGGATGATGACTGTGTGTGTGTGCGCGCGCTCACCACCTTCTTCATGGAATCTAACTTTTATCCCTCGGTCCAAACTCATTATTAGGCACCCCAGTTGGAGCCTGGACTGAGATGCAGACTAGTGTGGGTTTACACAGCTAACTCACTGATAAATAACTAAGCAAACAGTTCTGAAGGGCCCATAAGTCTCAGGCATGCTGTTAAGCTCTAAGGATACCACAAAGGACCAAAATGGCAGGGCCCCCGAGCATCGGACGCTTCCAGTCGCCAAGGAAAGCAGAAGGCAGATCTAAAGAGTTACGTGACTATGGAGGTGCAACTGGCATGAGTTTCACATCGGGAAAGGTCGGGTGTGCACCGTAGGAGGCCAAGCGAGGCATCCCTGGAGCAGGGCTGTGCCAGCAGAGACCTAAAGGAGATGGGGCTTCGGGGGAGCCACGTGAAGAAGCTGCATCTGTCCAGGTCCTAGGGCAGATGGAGCTGAAAGGCTCTTCAGCAGGGCTGAAGAACAGCAGGCACAACAGGCCGTGGTAGGAGAGAGGCAGAGGTGTGCAGCGAAACCAGTGGGTGCTCCATGGGCCGTGGTAAAGGGCCCGCCACCATCCTTGAGCACTGGAAGCCACTGAGGTTCGAGGTGCATGCTGACCTCCTCCCTGGGTGCTATGAGGAGGGCGGTTGTGGGAGTTGGACGATTTTATATCAAGGAGATACTCCTGGCTACAGGGGGAGTGAACTCTGTCAAGTGGTTTGGTGCTTGATGATAACTCTTTAGGGACGTGGCCTTTTGTATGAGAGTGAGGGGCTCTGGGAATTGCTTCTCTCTCGCTCTCTCCCACTTCACCTTCCTCTTCCTGGAACTTCACTGGGACTGTCTGCCTCCAGGGGTGGGGCCATGTTTCCACCGACCTTGGATCCCCAAGACTCAGCACCAGCCAGCCTGTGATCTCCCGGCTTCCCGCTTCCCCTTTCTACGTGATCAGCCTGCAGCTCAGTGAAGCTGCGGCGGGCCCGGCTCGCATCAGTCCTGTGGACTTGAGTTGGCCTATGCTGGCCTTGCCATCTTGATGTAAAGTTGCTTGATACAAAGCTCGTTCTGAGACTTGGCTGGGTGTCACTGGTTTGTTTCTGTAGACGAGTCGGCCTAACACCGTGGTGTAGGGGAACATCCGTTCTAGTACCGCTTTCGGTCTTGCATTAGGTTAAAACTTACTTTTCGATGCGATCCTGAAATACGACCCTTTCAGGGCCTTCCTTTTTTGGTCCCCATCGTCTTCATTAAAGCCATTGTCATTGGTGTCCATGTGGTCGATGAGTTCCCCGTCCTGCACCTCTTCCCTTCAAGGACAGACATGAGCCAGGTCAGGCCACCTAGCCACACCCGCACGGGGCCTCCCAGCCTGGCCAATGGGCACTGTCCAGCCAGGCGCCGTGCGTGCTCATGCGGCAGTGTGGGTCCCTGGGATCGGGCAGGGTGCCCTGGGCACTCACGGGTGTGCTCATGACTGCGCTCAGAGTCTGGGGGGAAGCTGGAGGCAGCGCACTACTCACTCCTGGACGCCCACTCCGAGCTCCTGGATCTTCCTCTCGATGGCCGTCTCGATGTCGCTCTTGTCCAGTGAGTAGGCCACGAAAAACGCCTCCAGGATGAAAGCTATGAAAATACTGAGAGAGCACTGAGGGGTAAGAAAGCGGTTTTCCAATGTCCATGGGCTCGTCCCACGGAAGAAAGGTCAGCACTAAGCTGGAACCACTGAAGAGAAGGCTCAGGAGGTGTGGTTCCTCTCTATTTGGTCGAGAACATGGAAACAGACCCTCTGGGTGCTACTGAGGTCCGGGTGTGGGACAGTTCTAGGCAGACCCTGTTTGGCAGTGTGGCAGGGATGGTCTGGAAGGGATTGAATCTCTGGGGAAGGAAGGGCATGGAACCTGGTCGGGACCCCAGGTTCCTTCCCATTCAAACATAGGTGTACGTGATATGCAGATGTGAAAGATGTGGTGGGCATCTTGCAAACATAGAACACTTCGCCCTCCAGGGACCCGGCATCTGGTAGGGAAAGAGAGACACACCCGTGGTCTACCCCGGGGTGGGACCAGAGGCGTGTTAGGAGGGAGGCAGCCATCAATTCTGGAAATGGAGATGAAAACATTCCCACCCCCTAGGAGTCAACTTACTTAACAATGAGGATGACTACGACGATGTGGAAGAAGATGAAGTAGAGCTTTGCCGTCGGATGGGTCACCAGGGAAAAGCCTTCCGCAATGAGTGCAAAGCTAAGGAACCCACCACACTCGAAGAAAGGTGGCGTGCCGCAGGGCTCAAAGGTACCACCGTTTAATGCTCTCCCAGGAGCCCCTGCCCATGTCCCCCTGTCCCCACACCAGGGACAGACAGCCTCCCTGTGAATCTTACCGCCTTCTCCGAAAGGATATTGTGCCACTGATTAACCACGGTGAGCTCTATGAGCACGACGAAGGAGGCGGCGAGGTCATTGAAGTTGTTCTTGCAGTACCTGTCGCGGGCGAAGGCTGCGTCTTTCAAGGCTGGGTTCCCACAGACCAGAGCATCGGGAGTGGTGACATTGGGGTCGAAGAAGCGGACTTTACCCTGGAACACCTCCATGCCAATGATCGCAAATGTATAGTAGACCACCTAGGGCAACACCCAGCCATCAGTGGCCATACAAGGCTGCCAAACTGAAGACCAAGGAGCAAGCACAAGAGCCGGGCTCCCCGGGGCGGGGGTCTGCCCTTGTTTCAGGCCTGTAGCAGGACGAGGTCCGAATGCCCTCCGTCAGAGAACCGACAGAGGCTGCCTTCCCCAACCAGGAGGTCAGCGTGGCTTCGCGAAGGGTGTCAGAAAGAGCTGGTCCCTCTGTCAGTTTGTGAGAGAAGCCTGAGCTGCCCGTGGAAGGACAGAGGGCCCGGCTAACTGGACCACACACCGACAGCCCCTGGACTTCATTTCCAGAGTCAGAAATGATAGCTGCTAGCAAGTCAGCGGGCTAAATACTCCATACGAAATAGTTTAACCTTGGGTTCTAAAAACGCCCAAATTCTTGATGCCAAAATAAACTCCAAAGGTACCAAAGGTTTAAAATGCCCTAAATAAATAAGACCGCCCGGAACAAAATGGGTGGAAACTAGCCTTGCTAAGCATGACATAAAACCTAAAGCTATAAGATTTAAAATTTTATACAGTCAACCAAGGGGTCCCGGGGGCATAGTGGTTCACACATTGGGCTGCTAACAGCAAGGGGAGCGGTTGGAATCCCCCTGCTGCTCCCCTGGAGAAAGATGAGGCTCTCTGATGCCGTCGAGAGTTACATCCTCAGAAACCTGCAGGGGCACTTCTGCCCTGTTTTGTGGGGGCACTGTGAGTCCGAATTGGCTCAATGGCAGTTGGTAGATAGCCAGCGAAACTAAAACAAAATAACCCTTTATGTCAGCCAGACAAGGAAAAACAACTCCTCCTAGCTTGTTGCTAGGTGTCATGGAGGGAGCTCTCCATGACTCACGACCAACTTACATATAAAGTACAACAGAACAAAACATTGCCTGGCCTTGCTCTGTCCTTACCATGCAACAGCAGAGTCCTATTTCCTGAGAGGCTACCAATCATCTAAAACTAAAATGAATAAACGAAGGATCTAAGAAAATGAGCAGACAATACTCATATATCAAAAGATAAGCCTGAGTGGCCCAAAGGAGCAAAGATGCTCAGTCTCACTAATAACGAAATGAATGCCTGTCAAGACAACCAAATGCCATTTCCCTCGTGTCAACTGGGTAGGTGGAAATGTTTAATAAAACTCAGCGTGAGGAGTGCCACCAAACAGATGGTGCCAAACACTGCTGCTGGCATCACTATGGAAGCCCACCTTTTGGAGGGCAATTGAACAGCATCTACCCAAATTTTCCCATTGCCGAGTCGACAGCAATTCATGGTGACCCCGAGAAGTTCAAGGTAGAGTTTTCAGTGGCTGGTTTTCAAGAAGTAGACTATCAGACCTTTGTTCTGTCAATCAAATCACCAGCCTTTCAGGGAATGGTGGAGCGCTTAACCAGCTGTGGCACACAGGGACACCATGTGGGATCAGTGGCCAAATGCATACCTTCCATGTAAGAAGCCTGGGTTTGTTTGTTGGTCCATGCATGCACTGTGCACAGCCACTGCATGTCTGACCATGGAGGCTGGAGAGACGCTCTTATGCTAGGACAAACTGAAAGGACCCGATGAACTACTTCAGAAAACCAGCCATTGGATCACCGTAGACCAAACCCTACTGTACAGAGCCAACGCCACAGCAGCTAGCAATACCCCCTCTTCCCTGTTGGCTTAGGCTTACTTCTGCTCCTAGGAATCTATCCGACAGACACACTGACAGAAGCACACGGAGATATATGTACAAGAATGGGACATCATCATTGTTGGTTTTTTTTTTGTTTGGGTTTGGTTTTTTATTTTGTTTTGTATGTTTTTCTGTATATGAAATCCAGTATAGGTCAATCTATAGAGACAGTCACTGGATTAATAATTACCTGGGGACATGACAGGAGATCTTGGGAGGAAATGGGGAGCTAACAATAACTATAAGAAAGAAGAAAATGCCCCCACTATCATGATCCCAATTCTACCTTACAAATCTGGCTGGACTGGAGGATGTACATTGGTATAGATAGCAACTGGAAACAGAGGGAATCCAGTATAGATGACTCCTTCAGGATCAGTGGTGAGAGGGGCGATGCCTGGAGGGTGAAGGGAATGTGGGGTAGAAAGAGGGGACCAATTACAAGTATTCCCTCCTCCCTGGGGGATGGACAGCAGAGAAGAGGGCGGAGGGAAACATCGGACAGGGTAACTTATGACAAAACTATAATAACTTATGAACTATGAAAGGTTCATGAGGGAGGAGGGAGGGGGAAAATGAGCAACTGATATTAGGGGCTAGAGTGGGAGGCAAATGTTTTGAGAATGATGAGGGCAACAAATGTGCATATGTGCTTGACACGATGTATGTATGGATTGTGATGAGAATTGTACGAGCCCCCAATAAGATAATTTTTAAAAAAAGAAAGAAGAAAATGTTCTAAAATTGATTGTGATGAGGATGGCATGACTCTTCATAATACAACTGAACTACTTGAATACATGATATGTGAATTATATGCCAATTATGTTTCTATTTTTAATAATGAGACATCATGATAAATGGATATTACTGACAATGACAACGTATAAAATTCTCAGGAGTTTCTCAGTAGAGCGGTGAGTTGAGCTCATTTCTCCCTTAACATACGACCCAAAACCAAACTTGCTGCCATCAAGTCAATGCAGACTCATAGCGACCTCATGTGAGCTTCCCAGACTGTAACTGTTTACAGGAGTAGAAAGCCCCGTCTTTCTCCCTCAGAGCTGCTGGGTGACTTGGGAATGCCGACCAAGCAGCTCACAGCCCAACACCTAACCATGAAGAAACATGAAGTAGAGGAAAGTTGTGTAACAGCATTTTGCATAAGTTCTCCCATTTGGATAAAGAAGAAACTAGTTATCACATGCATAGATATGCTATGCTTGTTGTGTGCATCGAAATCTGGAGGAAGCATGGCAAGAACAGTGCTTGTTTTTGGGAAAGAAGAGTGTGGAGGATGAGAACGGGTGACGGAAAGCCCACTTTGAGTCTTCTGTAGTCACGGAATTTATCATGGTTAGACAAACACACCTCGTTTGATTGCTCCTGGCGGATATAGTGTTGTTTGCACACGGAAGGTCTGCAGCAGCTGCTGCCAGCCAATCTACCCTGTTTCAGCATCATGTGTCACCCATTGATAATTTTCACAATGTTCCAAACTTTATCATAATGCTCTTGCACACTTAATAGACTAGTGTGTATACATAACATGTTGGTCCAAGAGCCAATAGAAAGAAAACCCTAAATGTGGACCTCTAGCCTCCTAAACGGTGAGCGAGTAAATCCTGTTTGTGAAAGCCCCCACTTACGATAGTTCTGTCATGACAGCACCAGTTGACTACAACATATATTTCCCTTTCTTTCCATTACTTAAAATAAGGCTTATTAAGAGTAAACTAATTTGACATAGAATAGTATTGTGAGCAGGCACTTACCAAGACAAGTCCACCAAACGTCAATATCGTGGGGCCAATGTTAATTAAGGTGGTCACTATAACCCGGAATCTAGAATAAAACAAGGAATCCGAGGTAAGGTAAAAAGACAGCCAACTAGCATGCTTGCGTTTAATACCCCACTCTCCCCAGGCCTATGTCTCTGCTTTAATATTGCAGTAATTAGCCTTCACAATGTCAGAATTATTCCATCTACCAAGCTGGGGCATGAGTTAACTGGTAGTTTCCCAGAGATCCAAGTAGGGCCGTCTTGCGCAGTATAAGAAAGGTAACTGCAAACCTTGGGTGGCCTGAATGGTTTAGAGTCCAGCCACTGACCCCAGGTGAGCTGTGTCCACACGTCCAGAGGGGCCTTGGAAAAAAAGTCTGCACTCTGCTTCTGAAAGGCCTTGAAAACTCTCGAGTGGGCAGTTCTGCCCTGCACACATGGGGCCACCGGGAGTCAGAATTGACTCAGAGTGGTTTGGGATTCGGTGGGTGCTGTGTTTCACTAATAAAATATGAATGGGTGTGAGGCCGGAAAAATGACTTAGCTTCATCTACTTTTCTTCTTCACCTTCTTCCACCAAATTCCAGACTGTTTTAAGGGAGTCCTGGAGGTCTATACTCTTTCTGACAGCAGGCCAGTCCTCTGATGGAAGAGTCTACCGTGCAGTCCTGGGGGTGGGGCCTATCTCAATTTAGGGGTCAGACTCCAGGGTTTACTCTTGTGTTTGTATCTTTCGAATGTCAGAAAGTTGCTCAGTCTCTCTGAGTCACAGGGTTATCATCTGTAAACTGGGGCTGATGCAGGTCTCCATGTCAACGCGGGTGGATTTCAGGAGACAGAGCTGACAGTGGCTATTTCCCAGTAACATCAGCTGCCCTCACAACACCTGCTATTCAACTAGAGCCATAACTACGCAGGCGCAACGGAGCCAGGGTCACAGAGATGAGAGTGACTCATGACAAAACCCCTGCTCTTGGGGGAACTGACATCTGCATGTTCTTCATCCATCTGCAAAGAGTCCCCCCTCCTCCCCTGACCTTCCCGGAGAGCCCCGTTCCTCTATACCAGCGGTCCTCAACCTTGGTGCCGAGACCCCTTTGAAGATCGAATGACCCTTTCACAAGGGTCGCCCAATTGATAACAGTAGCAAAATTACAGTTATGAAATAGCAACGAAAATAATGTTATGGTTGGGGGGTGCTCCCCACCATATGAGGAACTGTATTAAAGGGCTGCGGCATTACGAAGGTTGAGAACCACTGCTCTGTACAGTCACACTCTGGGCTCATAATTCAGTCTGTCCATAGTCAAGGTAGAAGTGCCTCCCACCAGGCCCCCAATGTGAGCAGGCCCCCGAAGGCAGCAATTTCCCATGGCTCCGTACCTACCTCTGAATGCTGATGATGACCCGTAAGAGCCGGAGTATTCTCAACACCAAGACAATATCCAGGATCTGCTGGCTGTTGTATTTTCTTGCTGGAAAGAGAACATAATTATTGAACAGTCCATCTTCTGAATCCTCTGACTTGTCCCTTTTCAGTGAAGTCGGAAGCTCTGGTTGCCCTGGGGATCAACTACGGGCGGCCACGGTAAGACCAGGAGAGTGGTTCTGATTGGGTGTCACTGTAGGAATGGGACAATGGTTCTGAGCATGAAGGAAACCAGAGCTGTCTGGAGTCACTAATCGCCCCTGTAAGTCAAAGCCAACTTGGGTGAGCAGGTGAGTGTGCATCTAAAGGCTCCTTCCTCCCCCTCCTCTGCTGAAGCCCCAGAGTCCAAGGGCCAGGAGTGGGTCTGTGGGCATTGACTTCAGATCAGCAACGAAGAGTGGATATGGATCCAGTTCTATAGAAGAAAGTACTCCAACAAGCTGTCCGCGCCCCAGTCCCTTCACAGATCCATGATATGAAGCCTGCTCTATCCCAAAACCTACCTGCCACCAGCAGGAAGGAGTTTACATGGACTGGGGATAGGGGCAGGGTAGAAAGAAGGTGGAGGGCTGGGGACACTGCAGAGAGCACCACTTGCTCCTGGGTACAGTTGAATCAGGCAGAGGGCACATCTGCTATGGCTAGGGCCTAAATGGGGGCCATGGGTCTAAGATGTCCAGGTCATCCCTGAGGTCAAGGGCCAGTTCTGGAGGGCAGATGGCCAGGTGAACGCTTTGTTTGATGGACGTCTACAAATCACATCTCTAACATACAGGAAATGTGAACCAGGTTGCCCCGGCTACATGACTTTCAGGGGCAGAAACGCCTTTGCAATACTCCTGAACAATCCTGCCCCCTCACCCCAAACATCTCAATGGTGAACGGTGAATTTCCAGCAAAGACCACTGATTCAGTTCAATCCAGGGGGTGGGCACTGACCTGACTGGATGGTGGCATTGGCCACTGTGGCCACCAGGGCTGCAATGATGATCAGTGTATCAAACCTAACAGTGGGAAAGCCAAGTCAGTTATGAGTCAAGGGAAAGGGCCGTCAAGCTCAGAACATGAATTCTGAGGCAATTGCGAATTCAGTATTTTTTACAAAGCAAAGATCCAGCCATAAAAAAAGAATGAAAAAAAAAAAAGAATGGTTGACCAGCATGATAAAGCATAACTAGTGTCCCGGATTTTATATGTGAAGAATGTTGGGAAGGCAAACTATTTGTTACATATTTATTTACCATGGTGAAAAATATACAAAGGTTATAAAAGCTGGGTTAGGTCATTTTGAGGACAAGAAGTATCAAGACGTGCTATTTGAACAAGCCAACAATCTTTCCTGGGCTGAGTCAAATTTAAAAGGAATCAGTTTACATCACTTCAAATGTCTTCCAGAATAATCACATAGCATATGTTTAGGCCAATAGCTTGCACCTATGGTTTTTGCAAGCTATGCAACCCTGTTGCATGTTAGTTTCCTATGCATGTTATACACCTGCATGTGTTATTTATGTGTGTGTATTATATATAAACAGTATGGTACTGTTAGAATATTCGGACATGTTTTCAGAATACATGGTATAATGTTTCTTAGTATTAATTGAGTTCAGTACATTAAGATTTTTTTAACTGAAAACAAAACATCAAGTTGTTACTTTTCCCTCTGACAATAATCCCAAGAGACAAGAAACCAATCGACAACTCTACCAGGCTCCCCTTACGACCACACCTATACTTCCCCCTACATAAGCTGTGCCTCACTTAAGACAGGGCCTTCTCCCGGCAGTGCCTGGCACACATTGGCACTCGATAGGGCTGTACACTGAGCACCCAGCGCTGGCTGGCTGCAGCGTGGGGATAATGTTCTGTAGCCTGGAAAAGAGAAGGCTCACAGAGAGCCACATTCTGCCCAAGAAGAACTTTCCATCCATCTTGTCCAGCCACGCAGACGGACCCAGTTCTTGACAAGAAGACCAGGAAGCAGGCCAACGCAGCTATAGAAGGAATTGCCTCATTGGGTCGAAAACGTTAAGATCCTTTTCAAATCCGAGACAGTGATTTATGAGTCTTAACTCCTATCACAAAGAACCACTTTTGCTAAACCAGATGTCTCTCACCCCAGCTCGCATGCTGATGTCATCCTCAGATGTCTCCAATGCAGGGAGATGTGGCTGGGAGAACTACACCCAGGTTCCCCTCATTGGGAGACCCTCCTCCTCCTCCCTCTCCAGCATACGCCCGCTTACCAATTCCAGAACTGCTTCCTTCCAAAGTAGGCTTTGGGCTCATACGTGTACAGTTTCAGGAGAATCTCAATCACATAGAGAGAAAGGAAAAGCCACTCTGCATAGGAGATAAAGGGGTTCTTCTCATCCAGAGCAATGAAGATGGCATTGAGGAGGATGATGGCATCGTAAATCCAGACAAAAATCCTGGCATGAGGGGGAAAGAGAGACCCTGTCACCATGCATGTCAGTGAGAGGAGCAAGACATGCTCAGAGCTGGGCTACTTTTCTTCTTGGAATCATGATGAATGCAGGAGCCCTCCCCTACACACACATACACACACACATACACACACTCTCACTCACTCACTCACTCACTCACTCACTCACTCACTCACTCACGTATTCCTGTACAGCACGGGCCCTGGAGGGCACTGGCGCGGCCCTTCACTTCAAAGAGGAAACAAAGGCAGAGGCAGGGGAGAAGACAGAGCTGTGGTTTTCCCAGGTTCCTCGCTGGGGGCGTAGTACCTGCAATCTGTTGAAAGTTTAGGCAGGATCAAGTGATGGGGACAGAGAAAGGGTACAGGAGCATTGTACCTCTACTTCTTGGTCCCTGAAAAATTAATGTAGCTAATGTTTAAGGTGTTTTCCTTAAGAAAGCTTCCCAAAGCTTTCCCCTACTGCATACAGGGCCTGCCAGAGGGCCAGTATCTCCATCTCCGTCATGGAATTACAGGTGTAAAAAAACAAATACTGAACTCACTGCCATCAAGTCAATGCTGACTCACAGCAACCCCCCGTGGGTTTCCAAGACTGTACCTGTTTACAGGAGGAGAAAGCCCAGACTTTCTTCCACGGACCAGCTAGTAGTTTTGAACTGCCAACCATGCAAATCGCAGCCCAATTTGTAACCACTACACCACCAGAGCTCCAGGTGTATGTGGATAAAGACAAACATCTGATAAATGGCGCTCATTCCACCCTTCTATTCTAGAGCAGGCCAGGTAGCTCAGGTGGCCCTCCCCGGGCTCCAGGGACTCCTGGAGGACATGGCTGCCCCAGTGTTGTCTGTGAAGCTGTTACTGCTAGAGTCCACTCAGGACACCCCAGGGTGTCACAAGTGGACGCTCAGACGCCTACCATGGGAAGCCCAGCAGTTCCTTGAATTGACGGCAAAGAACCGAGACATAAAAAGCTCTGATCCACTGAAAACTATGGGTGGCAGATAGGGAGACCGAACTGCCTGCAAGGACGGCTGAACCATCCACTTTTGTACACTGGAAGAAAGATGAGTTCGAAGAAAGCAGGAGGCCACTGTGGCTGAATATGAGCCTTTGGTGCCGGTGTCCCAGGCGACCATAGCTCAAAATCAAGCTCCCACACCAGGAACAATGATCACCTACCTGGGAAGACAACCTGAGTTTTTTTTAAGAGACATGCTTAAGTCACTATAAAAGTTTAAGGTATAGAAATGGTTAACTGACCTCCTTCACAACCATTCCAACAGCGCCAGTTCCCGACTTCTTGCCCTGCAGTCAACAGGATCAACGGGCATATTTGATCTCAACTTCATACTGACTCTGATGGGGTTGGAATCTCACTGGAATTAGGGGAGTGGTCCCTTTCACTGGCCCAGAGAGAACATCTAGCCTCCCTGAAATCTCTTAGGACACACTGCGGAGGCAACCATCCTCTCGAAGCCTGCCCTTTTGACGTGGTCCAACACAGCATATCCAGAGCATCCCTTGATAACACCACGAACAATAAGCAGAGGAAGGGGGCTGGTTTGCAGCCTGGAGGATGAAGCACCAACAACTGCTGACTGGTTCATGGCCACTGGGAGAAAACTGGCCAGGTCGGACTTGCCTGTGCTGAACGACCTTTTGGATGAAGAGGCTCACGGAAGACTTGTACACACGTGGCATCCAGGCTTCCAGGGGATGCCTCCTGACGCTTATGGTGATCACTTGGATGTTGAGGAGGTCAGCTAAGCGCAGGAAATTTGTTTTGTCTGCAATGCAAAAACAACCCGAAATTCATGGCCACTGGGACAGGATGAGGCAAAGTCACCATAAACCCCCACGCTTTCTTTCATAGAAGACCTGAGGCCTCAAAGCCAAGAAGCCAGGGAGTGGCAGAGCCAGCCTTCAATCCCCCAGGCCTCCCAAATGGCTTCACTCCACCCCTCAGCTACCCCAGGTCTGAAGACTGATTGGATTACTCAGCGGATACCACCGTCTTCCTACCTGCTTCCCACACGGCTTCCCTCCTCAGAGGCCCTTCTGACTTTCAGTGTCTGCCCTGCACTACCCTCCCAGCTGTGCCCCGACTTCCTCGCCCTTCCATGAAGCCTTCCAAGACAGAATGTAATCTAGAGCCTTCCACGGGAACCCTTATCGTCTTCTCTGCTCAGCCTTCCTCTCTGCCCCTTCGTAAGGATGCACTGAGACCTACGGCCTCTGCAAGGAGCTCACCCACCAGGCCAGGGGACAGCAGGAACCTTCTTAACTCACAAGACCCACCCAACTGAGAAGCTGATGTTCTCTGGACCCTCCAACTGCCGGGGCTGGCAGGCTGCTCGCCATTGTCCCATGCACTGCCACACCCACCACTCAGGTAGTGTGCTGCCCATGAGTCAACGGGACCGATTCCCAATCCTGTTTATACTTAAACTTAAATATCTGAACTTTAAGAAATACAATCTAAGCTGCTGAAATCAGAATGTGCAAAGAGTGTATCTGCCTCTTTGAGAACGAAGTTAAATATTTGGTAAACGCCAAAGAAAGGCGCTAAAATAAACCGTAGGACAAATCATCAGGTGCAGCTGAGACGATCATGAAGAAGCAGAGTGGGAATCTTGAAAACCAGCAAGAATCCTCACTTGTTGTTTTATAAATATCTAGGCTTCCACTAAAGACTTTTCTTTCTTTCTCTTATGCTTCAGCAAACAAAACTGCATTCCCTCACTGTTTAGGAGACTGGAAGTTCAAATCCAGAGCAACAGCCTTAGGGGAAGGCCTTCTCTGTTGGCTTTGGAGAAAGATCCTTATCTCCTTTCAGCATCTCTGCGTTGGCATTCCTTAAGAGATCCACATGTGGCATCAGCCTTCCCTGGGGTTAGGAGGTTCTCAGCACAGGGACCCTGGGCCCAAGGGAAGTGCCTGATAGTGTAGAAAATTCATCAACAGACGTCCATAAAGTGAAAAGGCTGTGGCCTTATCCAGAGTACAGCCCTGTCTGGGTGAGGAGCTCAACTCAGACAAAGTCTTAGGTGGATTCAAGCACTCATGGCGTGGTTTTAAGTATCCCTAAGAGCTCTACGGTCCCCGGGAATTCTATCAACACCGAAAATGTTTGATCGTGTTAAACAGAGAAACACGACACATACAGACGTGGCAAGAAAGGGACTAAGTATAAGTATTAACAGAGAATATGAAGCAAGGAATGTTGTATCCACTAACATTACTCCATTCAGAGTTGTCCAGGTCTAAGGTCATGAAAGAACTTAACAGCCCATCAATTTAGAAGAAAAACTCATTAGGATTCATCAAATCCCCAGGTCTTCAGAGTTAGTTAGAAGGAATATATACATATATCCAAAAATTCAACTCTCAAAACAATAAAGAAGTCACTGCCATCAAGTTGAAGCCAACTCACAGAAACTCTCTAGGACAGCGCAGAACTGTCCCCTGTGGTTTTCTGAAGCTGTAACTCTTGATGGGAGTATAAAGCCTCATCTTCCTCCCGAGGGGCACCTGGTGGTTTCGAACTGCTGAACTTGCAGTTAGCAGCCCGATGCATGGCAACACATAACCACATAGGGCTCCAGCCTTCACAGCCAAAGACATGCAGAACTCGCTCAGGTGGAGGTGCAGTCTCAGAAGAATAAAGTACCGTGTCACTCTGATCCAGGGAGCTGAGTTATGGAACACCGTGTGGAGATGACAGAGACCACGGCAAGACACAATGGAATAAAATAGGAGTGACCTACCAGAGCTGCTGACAGGAATCCTGCCAGACGCTCAGGCCTGTCAATAACTGTCACAACAGGGAATCCGCCAGCGTTGGTGGGGTCACATCTTTTCATTCAGAATATTCCAAAGAATAAGAAGGAGCAAAGAGAACCCAAATTATAGGAACCTCGTCTTACACGGGAAGGTGTGCCCATCTGATGCTTTATTATGTAGACTGGGGTTGCAACCCCGTCTATGTGAAGGGTCGCACAGTAAATATGTCAAACTGTGGGGCATCTGCTCTCAGTGGCAACTACTCAATCCCTCCATCATAGAGTGAAAGCAGCTGTGGACAAGACAGAAATGGATTTCATGGTTAAAGAAAAAGGCTGGGGGGTCAGATTTGGTCTGCAGGCCCGGGTCAGCCAATCCTTCCTGCCCCATATCTGCCCCACATTGTCTTCACTAAGAATCCTACTCAGCCTCTTTATGTCCTTGATATTGGTTCAGTGTTGTGTTGCCCTGATGAACACTCGCTTTACGTTGGAACACTCTGGGAACTGACGGAATTCCTATGGGAGCTGTGGAAACCGCGCACTGTCCGAGCTGCTAATCAAGGGGGAGCAGAAGAATGTTCACCACCCTCCCCAGTGCAGAACAGAGACCCTTGTGAAGCGCTCAATCCTGTCTGGGTTTCTCTAATTAAAACTGCCTTTGAAAGTATAACTTGAACAAAGGAGTCTCTTGGGACATACGGGCATCAGAAATGATATTTGGAATATAACCTCTCATTACACAAACTCTATAATCTTCCTCAAATACGTGTCTGCCCCAGTTCTTAGCTATCTAGCACAGCTATGTCAGAAATACCGCTCTAACAAACACTGCTTTTGGAGGCTAGACGTCTGAACTCTGGGCACCCACGAAGGCTTCCTCTCTCCCTCATCTCTGGAGCAAGGCCCTTGTCTCCTTTCAACATCTGCAGGCTTGCTGGTTTTGAACTTCTGACATGTTGGTTAGCTGCCTAACGTGTAACCACTATGCTATCATGACTCCAATAAGTACGATGGACCACTGTCAAAAACAATGCCTCTCGCTCCGGAAGGCGCAATGTGCGGCATGGTCTTGACATGGCTTTCAGCTGTGACTGTTCTCGGCTCATGGGACATCACTCTTGGATACAGTCAGACCATGGCTTGCCTCTTGCTCAGCCTCGTCTGCTCCCTGGCCACTGACCAGTCTCCTCCAGTAACTCTTTCAGATGTTGTTCTAACCAGGATCAGAGTCCATACCCAAACAGAACCACAAGTCTGCAACACTTCCATTGTCTTTAGGAAGTCCACTGTCATTGTGGCATGAGTCTTTTCTACTCAGATCTTCATTGGTGCACTCCCAAACGTTGTGGGATTGCCCCAAAGAATGATTCCTTCTTGCTTAAGTTATCCATGGAATGATACCCTCGAATAAATGAGGGGCGTGGGACGTTTTTGGGCATGCTCAGGTAAGAGCTGCCCAGCTGTCAGACTCACAACATGGGAACTGCTGTCCAAACATTGAAAGCAGTCATCTTCCCACTGGAGAAGGGTTTGTCAATAGAACAAGGAAACATTGTTCACCCAGAGATGTCTTTTCTGGCTGAGTAGAAGATGATAGGTGTCAAGATGACACAATGACCAACAAAGGTCTTGAGACCTGCCCACCCACCCCACCCCCGCTCCTAGCTTCTTTTAAAGCAATCGAGGAATACACTTCACAGAACAAGATGCACAGAGATGGAAAGGCCCTAATGCTCATGGGAGCAGCAGTCAAGCAATCAAACGATGTGTTGCATTGGATAAACCGGCTACACAAGACCCCCTTAAAGTGTCAAAAAGCAAGAAAGTGACTTTAAGGCAGCCGTTCTCAACCTGTGGGTCACGACCCCTTTGGGGGTCAAACGACCCTTTCACAGGGGTTGCCCGATTCATAACAGTAACAAAATTACAGTTATGACGTATCAATGAAAATAATTTTATGGTTGGGGGGTCCCCACAACATGAGGAAGTGTATTAAGGGTCGTGGCATTAGGAAGGCTGAGAACCACTGCTTTAATGACTAAGGTGCGCTTGACCCAAGCCATGGAATTTCCAGTTGCCTCACATGCACGTGAAAGCTGGACTTACATAAAGAAGACCGAAGAAGAACGGATGCGTCTGCGTTACGGTGCTGGCAAAGAACATGGAAAGCACGAAGACGGACAAGAGAACACAAATCTGTGCTGGGAGAAGGAAGCCAGGGTGCTCCTTGGAGCCAGGATGGCAAGACTTTGTCTCACCCATGTGGGACATGTCATCAGGAGAAGCCAGTGCCCGGGGAAGGACATCATGCTTGCTGAGGGGGAGGGGCAGCGGCAAAGGGGGCGGCCCTTGACAAGATGGATTGCCCCAGTGACTACACCACGGGCTCAAACAGAAGAACAATGGTGAGACGGCGCAGGGCCCAGCGGTGTGTGCTCGTCGGACAGAGGGTCTGTGAGTCAGAGCGGACTCCATGGTACCTGACACCACCAAGAGGTGCTTCAAGGTCTCCACCGTCGGAATGATGCAGACGTGGCAGTGAAACATCACAGAGGAGTCCTCAAAAGCAGATGGAGACTCTGCACTGAAGTGCCACCGCACAGCGGCCCAGGGCAGGGCTTGGGAGCAGGAGCTCCAAAGGGAACCCCAGCACCTCCTCATGTTCTAGGTCAGTGCGATTCATTGCCAGCGGAAAGTACCAAAATACACTTTGCTTGGATGGTTTAGGGGGGAAATATTCTTAAAGTACCTCAGCTAGCCAAAAGGTTGGAGGTTTGAGGCCACCCCGGAGCACCTCAAAAGAAAGACCTGGAGAGCCACTTCCCAGAATCTGGGCCTTGAAAGCCTCCAGAGCACAGGACTGCGGTGGCTCGGAGTCAACCTGACAGCAATGAAAGTGGCTGGACCCATAGCCTGCAGGGCAGCCCAGTTGGCAGCACGCGAGGAAGACGAACTTTAGAGGGCCAAGGCTCCTTACCGACGTGTCCCTTCTGTCCCTCGTCGGAGATCCTCAAAAGGAGCTCCAGGTGGGAGCTGCTGATGTCTGGCACCACGACCTTTGTCAGCCGCCTCCACTCGGCCTCCTTGACCACAAACTCGGCGCCCACCTTGACTTTCAGGAGGTTGAAAGCCTCGACCATCTTGTAATGTTTCAGGTAGACCAGCTTTCGAATCTCGTTCTTAGAAGCCAAACAAAACAGAATACAACAGCTGAATGTTTTCTTTCTCTTTCTCTCTCTCCTTCCTTCCTTCCTTCCTTTCTTCCTTCCTTTTTAAGAGAACGTTTCCAGAAAGCTTCATTCCTTGACTCCCAACATTCTAAGGTCATTGGCATGCCAAGACATCAGGAATGGGTCTGCTAGAAATCAAGGTGTATGATCCCTCTCCAGCCCCAGGGATATTGCACTAATCCCTCTCTGCACCAGGAGAAAGGCTGGCTTTCTACTCCTGTAAAGAGTTACAGTCTCAGAAACTCGCAGGGGCGGTTCTGCCCTGTCCTAGAGGATCCTGATGAGTCCCAATCGACCCCAGGGCAGTGTTGGGTGGGGGTTCTCTGCATCACCAGAACGCACCTTACCACATTGAAACGGTAGCACGTGAGGACAATCTATGCGGCGAAAACAAAGCCTTAGGAGGCAGATGGTTCCCAACTTTGCCCAGCAGGGAGGAGAGATTCCATAGAGGCTGGGAATCAGGCAGGCTGCTGATAGAAGGAGCCCAGCAGGGAGACGGAAGACAGATCCACCGGTAAGGAGAGAGGAGGCGACAGGATGCCAGGAAGTGACACCAAGCGAGAAGTGGTCCAGAAAGACGTGGCTGAGGAAAGGAAGGAGAGTTGGGGCTGCCTGGAGCTGTCATCCAGCCTGACCACATGGAAACTTCCAGAAGGGGAGACAAGCCAAACAGCGTTCCTCCAGTGACAGTCGGTCCTCCACCTTGAGGGATGTCCCCACGCTCAACGCATTGCCATCACGTCATTGATAACACAGCTGCACCGTCTTAATCCTCTAGAAACCTCTATGGTGGCTGGTCCAGGAGATGTGTTTAACATACTTGCTGGCTGACCCGTGTAGCAGGCAGACTATGAACGTCTGAGGTGCGGGGGCCCAAAGAAATCCTTCCTTTGGGGGAAGGGCGGGAGCAGAGCAGCCATGAAACAGGAGAGGAGGCACAGCGACACACATGCAGGGACTGTAGTTTCCACCCAGGAAGAGGAAGTCCGGAGTCGCGGGGCCTCTAGGAGGCCTGGCCCCAGTCAGGAGCAGCCCAGGCTCTGTGGCACATAGAAGCCTCCAGACCTGGGGACTGTGGACTCCTCTCAGGCCCAGTTTGGCCAAATCTCAGTCTGCCTCAGCACCGCCTTCTCCTTAGCTGCAAGGAAGCTTTCCTTAACAGTTTGTTTTTGTTTAGTTTCTCTCTCTTTTTAACATGTCTTCTGCTGTTAACACCCTTAAACAAGGAAAAACAGAAGGCACTCAAAAGAGGGAAGGATCAAATGCTCTTGGCTGTGTTTCCCTTAAAGAAAAACCCCCTTTGGGGGAGGGGTCTCTATACAATCAGAAGTATGACCGGAGGCCTGGGTCAGTGGCTGGCTGTAGAAGGAGGTCAGTTTGGTATCTGGGATGTCCCTGTGGATGTCAGGATCCATCTACCCCAGACCCTCAGGGCCTCTAGCCACCCAACACTTCCCGGGACTCTCCAGACAGAAACCCAGCGGGCAGGTGGCAGGGGAAAGACTGCTGGCTTCCAGGCTTTTCTGTTTCTGCTTCCGGGGGAAAGGCAGATGCAGTCTGGAGGAAGACATCCTCAGCCCTCAATTGCACACAAACCTTTGAAGGGCCATGAGTTCTTTGATGAGTTAAGACTAAAGGGAAGGACACAGGTCTGACGCTGCCCTGGCTCCATCTCTGCCCGTCAGCATCTCTTCAGACAGGCGTCAGAGCTCTCCTGAAGACATGCAAGGAATTTCCCTGCTTCGCATGAGGACACAGAACCAGCCTCCAGAGCCACCAAGGTCAATACAGCAAAGGGGATTATGAATACTTAGCACATGCCCTGCCCCTGCCCCGCCCCAGCTCCCAGTTCACTGGTGCTAGATACCTTTAAGTGCTTCCGGTAATTGTTGTAGACCACGGCCAGAAAGACGGACATGAAGATGTAGGTATTGATGATGATGTACGTTATAAAGTACAAAGAATACCAACGATTGAAGTCATAGGCCGGCATCCTGAAAGAAAGCAACGGCCACACTGTTTCATGGTTTTCACACCCGTTTCCTCACGACAGTCCACTGACTTGGACAGGACCCCACGTGCATGGTCTGTGGACACGAGGGTGGGAAACCTTTCCTTCACTCTACCTCTTTCCTGCGTGCTGGGCAATGGGGCCTCAGTGTTTGACACAGGAGGAGGGCAAAAAAGTGGGCGTGGGGACAGGGTAAGCTATTGGCTGGATAAGTTAAGCTTTTTTAGTACAAAAACAATGATCTGATATGTAAATCCCCACTGAATTCGCAATGAAAATCCCTTTTCTTAAAAAAGATAACTATACACACACACACACACACACATATATATATGCCATCACCAATCCTAACGTTAAACGGTCACTCAGCTCCATGCCTGCCCTTCAGATCTTCTCATGGAGGTGCCAAGCTCCAGAGCAGGGGGACTTTGGAAACCACCCACCCCAATCTCCTCCCTGGATTTTCCTGAATGGAGGCCTTGGAGGGAAAGGGCTTGCCCAGAGTAACAGAGGGAACCAGAAATGTGCCTTAAATTTGTACTCAAAGCTGAGCATGGGGCACCAGATGCCTTTGGTGGGGGCCGGCTAGTGTCCCACCCACAGTGGGACAAGGAGAAGGGGAAGGCAGTACCAATGGTCACATCAGGACAGAGGTGCACATCAGCAGTGATCACTCCACCTTCATGGAAACTGGTGGGTGATGCTGACACATCTGGGGCAGCACAGAGTCTGTGGGGCAGATCCAAGGGCACTGTGGTAGTTACATAATCTGGTGTCAACTTGAGACTGTTAAGAGTGAAGGGGTGGAGTCTGGCCTGTCAATCAGATCACAGCTTGATGACCTCATTTGGAAGCACAATGGAGATAAACAGCTCACTGGGAGGTCAGACCCACATTCTCTGCTTCATCTTCCAGCTGACAAGCCACAGGGAGCTATTCTGATGGAGCCAAAGCCCAGGAGTTGGAGGAGCCACGTGGAGACCCACGCCAGCACTGAGATGCTTCCACCACCACTGGATCCACAAGACTTTCCACCCACTGGCCTGCCATCTTCCTGCATTCAGCGTCATTGCATGTATTGTGTGAGTCTGAAGAGGAATTTTTAGACTGGTATCAGACATATGGGCTAATATCAGACATATGGACTTGATCTGGACTGAGCCGGAATGTTTTCTTACTAAACAATTACTCTTTGATATAAAGCTCTCTCTTACACATATATGAGTGTCCTGGATTTGTCTTTCTAGACAACCTAGATTGACACAGGCACCCAAGGGCGTGGGGCAGGACAGCTCCCTTGCTTTTGCCAGGGCCAGGCCTGAGAGTGAGCAACCACCACCGCCAAGCTGACCCAAAGAACCAGTAACAAACAAACTCCTGGCCACAGAGTCCCCCCCGACTCCTGGCCACCCCACGTGCTATAGCACAGAACGGCTTCACAGGGTTTTCTTGGCTGTAACCTCTAGGAAAGCAGAGTGCCAGGCCTTTCCTTCCTTTCATGGTGCTGCTGGGGGAGGTCAAACTGTCAATCTTAAGGTCAACCGTTGAGTTCTAGCCTTCAGGGCTACCCATGGACCTGCAGCTAAGAGGAGGACAGAAAGACTGCCCCCTCCTCAGAAGTGCATTATTCGATGAGATTTGAATTACTGTCACTTAGAGCTCTGTCTACTCTCTAAACCTGAGGGCTAACTGCTCATAACAACACTGTGTACTACTGCATCTCTATGAACAAGGTAAATCTGTAGGAAGAAAGGCATAGGACCTACCACGCAAGGTGTTCTTCCAAAGCTATGCCCATATGTGTAAAGAATTGGCATGTGAGGTGTGGGAAGGCACTGGGAAAATGGGAAGTGGGAGATGATGCCATTTTACATCTCCTCCCTGTTACACTGACCCAGAAAACCACATTACTACTTAGGAGACATGATTTCTTGACAAAAGTATATTTGGTATAAAAACTGAAGACTCAAAGCCTAGAGTCTAGAGAAGGTAGCTCAAATACTTGTTGTTTCTCAAAAGATGTCTCCTGTTGCTTCCCATTTTCAAAGGATTCTGCAAAGCTTCATGTTACATAGGTCAGGCGGTCTGTCCCTGGTGTGAGGTCCCTGGGTGGTGCAAATGGTTCCTGCTCTCAACAGCAAAGTGGAACGTGGAGGGTTCAGTCCCACCAGTGGGGCCTGAGAACAGAGGCCTTCCAAGAACCCAGCCACCGAAAACTCTCGGGGCGCGCACACACACGTGCACATGCATGCACACACATGTGCGCGCACACACCGCACACGGTCTTCTCATTGGCAAAGGTTTTCTTTTTCATTTAACTTGGGCAAACATCTTGTATCCTTCCTTTTTTCAGTTTTTTAAAACAATGAGTATTAAATCCATTCCAACTCCTAGTGACCCTATAGGACAGAGTAGAACTAGCCCTCCCCTCCCCCTGCACGGGTTTGTGAGGCTGTAAATCTTCACATATATCTTACACATATGGGCATAACTTTGGAAGAACACCTTGCGTGGTAGGTCCCAATGCCTTTCTTCCTACAGATTTACCTTGTTCGTAAAGATGCAGTAGTACACAGTGTTGTTATGAGCAGTTTTTTAAAACAATCAAGAGAAAAAATCTCTGCTTTTCTCTTTCAGCACTGTAAGTTGTTAGAAGGAGCAGCTCTGGTGGCAGACTGGGTTATGCATTGGGTTGCTAAACACAAAGTTGGTCGTTTGAACCCACCAGCCGCCCTCTGGAAGAAAGACCAGGCTTTCTGTTCCTGTGAAGATTTACAGCCTCACAAACCCACGCAGGGGGAGGGGAGGGCTCGTTCGACTCTGTCCTATGGGGTCACTAGGAGTTGGAATGGATTTGATGGCAGTGCGGGTTTTTTGAGTGTTAGGAAAAGGCTGCTTTCAATCAAGTGAACTTGGCTGAAGTGAAGTTCGTAAACGTGAAGCAGGGCTTTAAGTACATGACATCCGGGCTGTTTGCAGTGGTCACCAGCACGTAGAGGTCAAATATTATCTCCAGGATGTTCGTAAAGTAGGGAGATCCTTCCACTGTCTTAAGACCCCTAAAGAGGAACCAAAAACACAAGGTCAAAAATAAAGGACGTTGTGGTTTCCGTTTTCCAGAGCATTCTTGGAGGGTTGCATAGGAAGATCACCTCTGGTGACAGATCCTGCCACCCGAAGGCTTTCCCTAAATGTGGGAATCTTCTAGAGAATTGTGCTCACCGATCTCCAAAGAGCTTCAAGGCCATCAGGGAAAATATCAGCATGTTGAACATAAACAAAAGGAAGACGTAGAGGATATCGGGCAGAGTGTTCCGGATGCTTCGGAAAGCTCTTCGGATCTGCAAAGACAGAGCTCAATTTCATTCACAAGAAATGCGTTCATTTTCTGCAGAAACTGAAAACCAAACCACCCGGTGTCCTCTGTTGTATCCTTACCTGCCGACTTTCAGGGAAGTTAATGAGGAAGACTGGCCTTAAGGCCCTTGACCACCTGACGCTGTGGATGTTAATAGCTTCCAGGGATCCGTAGACAATCAGGTCGACCAAGGTCAGCTGTGAGAGACGTGGGACAGGCATGTCAGAACAGCACTGCTGACGGGCAAAGGAAGTGACAAGGCAGGTGCCCAAAAGAAAGGTCACAATGTGTTAAATGATCACACAAATCTGACGAACTGCACAATCCCAATCTGGTTAACATCATGGCGTTGACCGTAGCTAGCATTTGAGTTATCAGCATGCATCGTATAATAAATGCCACTTGTGATGATTCCGTTAGCTACCACCACACCCTAAGGTGAGCACTATTCCTAACCAAACTTCCTGTAAGTGGGGAAGTTTGAGCACAGAAGGTAAGCGCCGAGCTCCTGGTCACACCGCTGCTAAGGACAGACTGGGGCTGGGACCCTGGCTGTCTGTCTGCCATCAGAGCCCTTGCTGTTAACGACATTGTTCACAAGCTTCCACGGGATAGCTTCAATTTAGCGTGTAAAATGGAGGAAGGCTAGCTTAATAACCAAAGTTAGCATATTTAGAATACAGAAAAATCCTTACCAATGTCAGGTTTGTTGTCACCTGGGGAGAGGGAAAAAGAGAAACCTATTGCATTTTAGAAAAATGTAGGTCAAAAAAGGAAGAATCCAATATTTTAACTATGGGCTCAGGGAACACGGCCCACCCCATAACACACACAGGAAGATCTCCTCAGCAGCCATGGCAGAGGCCCCACCAAGAGGGAAGTTCTGTGCTCCTGGAGGCCAGAAAAACAATTTAAAAGTAAAGTGCACCCCAGTTTCTTAGAGTTGGAGGCCAGCAATCCTCGCCAGCTGGTATAGACTCCCCTTCACCATTACCCAGCAGCAAGAGCCACTTCTGTGCACTCCCCTGCCTCTATCCAAGACCACCCAGTCAAACCTCTTGCCCCTCTGGTCTATGGGGGCCCTGGGTGGATAGCAGGCCATGTAGGCAGCTTGGTGCATGCACCCTCACACCCCCAGAAACATTTCCCCCAATTTTTTCTTTCTTTCTTCATTCTCCAGAATTTTTTCTCCCCATATGTCCCCCCTTCTCCCCAATATGGTAAACGCATGCTAACCCAAACACTGCCAAAAGATGAGAAATCCCGACCTAAACTGCAGTTTTATTTATTTTTGTCTTTTTTTTGTTTTTAATTTCCCACTTACTTCCTTATACCAAAGGTCGCCCACTCCCCACCCCAGATAAGCACACCTCCCAGACAGGCACAAACATACTTGCAGGTCCAGGACCACCCACTCAAACCAGGCTTGTTTGTTTGTTTGTTTGTTTGTTTGTTTGTTTGTTTGTTTGTTTGAATCAAGTGCCCCTACCCCTCTTGGAGGGCACATGGGCATGCTACTATACCAACAAAATTCCACATCCACACGCAAGCCAAGCCCCACCCTGTCGTTTGTTTTTCTTCTCTTCTCTGCACATTTGAACGGTTTCCTCCTTTTCCTTCTTGTTCTTTGCTCTCTTCTTTTCCTTCTTTCCTGAATTCTACTCCCACTCCCTAAATACATATGTTCATAAATCTTCTGGGTCTGGTCTACTTGTGTATACTTTTCTCCTGCTCCAACCACTGTCTCTTTCTGCTACCTCTCTCCTTTTCCTCGTGAACTACATCCAGGATAGCTATTCATTCATATTACATCTCTTAAAATACATTTCCCATTAATTTTACAAACTTTTGGTCCTCTTTATATTATTATATTATTACTTTTATTTTACGCTCTTTTCTTTCCTCTTATCTTCCCCACTTACCCATCTCTTTCCTTTTTTCTCTATTTTCCTACCATGTGTTTTATAATTCCTATTAGACCTCTCCCCTGTAACTCAATCATGTTACTGCCCGTACATGACCCAGTAGCCCACACACCACTAATAGCTGCACCACAAGGCAGAGACCCAATAGTCAGCCACAGTAAAACACCCACATTCAAGAAAATCAAACACAAACACAAACCAAAAATCAGCCAAATTCAATGGAATACTTTCAAAAGGAGGTCTTAGAATTACCAGAAATAGAATTCAGAAGAAGGGCGTTTAGGTGCCTTCAAGAGAGAAAATACACATGAGAACTGCAAAAGAAATCGAGACACTAGAAACCCTACACTAAAAGGAATACCAAAATATGAACAACATGATAAGCTCTTTTGGTCTGAATTAGACAAGGTAAAAGACCCGAATAATAGAATGGAAGAAAAGGAAAATAAATGCAGTAAACTCAAAGACAATTACTGTGACTACAAACAACAGGAGAAACAATTTTTTTTAAAAGCAAAGGAATTCAAATAGTCTAAGAATAATGTGCCACAGTACCAAATGAAACAACCTACATGGTATCAGGATCCCAGAGCATGAAGAAACAAACAAAACGTTTACAGAGACAATAGTACAAGAAATCATGGAAGAAAATGCCCCCAACATGACAAATGAGAAGAAAATAACTACTCAAGAAGCTGGAAGAACTCCAAACAGGATAGATCCTAAGAGAACAGCGTCACCACCTGTCATACTCAAACTCCCCAATCTCAAGGAAAGGGAAAGGATCTTGAGGGCAGCGAGGGGAAAGAACAGTCACCTACAAAGAAAATCCGGCAAGGGTAAACTCAGACTTCTAAGCAGAAAGCACCCAAGCAAGAAGACAATGGTGACATTTGTCAAATCAGGAAAAACAAAACTGCAAACTAGGAATCCTATACCTAACAAAATTCTCCCTCAAATATGAGGGAAGATATAATTCCAGATGAGGAAAAGCTGAAGGAATTCCTAAAAATTAGGCCAGCATCATAAAAAATTATTATCCGGATCACTATGGACAAAGAATCAACAAGAGCAGCAGCCAAACCTGAAACCAACAAAGAGAACACCACCATTCAGAAACCAATACAGGGCAGTAACACTCAAAACAACCCAGACCAGAGTTGGGAAAAAGACACCAATGAAACCACACACAGAACAAGCAAAGCAAACAAACAAATACAGCAAAATGACAGAAACAGACCCACATATGTCAGTAAACACACTAAATGTCAATGGATTAAACACATCGATCAAAAACCAGAGAGCAATAGACTGGATTAGAAAACAAGATCCATTTATATGCTGCCGACAAGAGAAACACCTTAAATTCAAAGACAAACATAAACCAAAGGATGGAAAAAATTTACCCAGCAAAGCAACTATAAAAGAGCAGGGGCGGTGAGATAGTTTATTGTGCCAGCCTGGCCGATAAACACAAGTGGGATTAACTGAAGGGCAGAGAGATAAATGGCTCAGTGAGCCTTGCCTTTCTTGTCTCTCGCTCTTTGATCATCGGACCAGTGTGCGGCTGCCTTGCTTGTTCTGTGCCTCAATTTATAGGCTACACTACCTGTGGGACGCCTAGCCTGTGGACTGTGTCGCTGTAAGTTGAGGTCCCTTTAAGACATCTCTGGAGCTGGGGACTGGCAGTTGGGACTGGTGGTTGGTTGACAATTGGTGATCTGCCTTGCGGTTGGCTGCTGTGCTGAGATGGTCTAGCTCTCTCTATAAATAGAGGAAGATCTGGCAGCAGAAAAGACTTGAAGGACTGCTAGTCTCTCACAACTCTCTCTCACGGGAGTGAGTTGCACTGAGCCATTGGTACTGCTTTATAATTTAATTGTTCATTTCTTGTATTATATATCTATCTATGTGTATATAATTTAACCGTTCATTTCTTGTGTTATATATCTAATTATCTTTATAAATAAATATATAAAATTATCAGCCATCTGGTTTTATCTCTCTAGAGAATCCTGTCTAACACAGGCGGTAAGATTGACTTCAAGGTAAGATGGACTTCAAGGCAAACAACAAAATGAGAGACAAGAACCAACACTACATAATGATTACTGACATAATAGAACAGGAAGATATAATCATAATAAGTATATAAGCCCCCTCCCTTATGGGAGACCTTCAAAATATATAAATCAAATCCTCACAGAGTTGAAGAGAGAAATATCTCAATAATATAAGTGGAAGCCATCAATATATCATGCTCAAGATAAGGGAAAAAATAATAAAGAAACAGAAGAGCCAAGCAATACAATTAACCAGCTCAACCTCCTAGACATATACAAATTATTCTGCCTGAGAACACACTTTCCACTTTTCTCCCATACACAAGGTACATACTCTAGAATATACCACGGTAGGGCACAAAGCAAGCCGTAATAAATTCAGACACTGAGATCCTACAATCCATTTTCTCAAGTTACAACTCTATAAAACTGGAAATCAATAATAGAAAGAACAAGAACATAAAGCCAAACACATGGAGACTGAACAGCATACTACTGAAAATCTATTGAATAATAGATCAAATAAGGTATGAAATTAAGACGTTTCTTTAAACAAATGAGACTAATAGTACAACATATCAAAACTTTGGGACACAACAAAAATTGTCAGAGGGCAATTTATAACAATCAATGCACAAATAAAAAATAAATAAAAGAGGAGAAATCCAAAATCAGCACCTAACACAACACCTCCCACAATTAGAACAAAAGTAACCCTCCAACAACAGGTGAAAGGGAATCAGAAAGATCAGAGTAGAAATAAGTGAACCGCAAAACAGAAAACAATGGGAACATCAATGAAATAAGAAGTTGGTTCTTTGAAAGGATGAACAAAATTGACAAACTGCTGGCAAACTTAACAAAGAAAAAGAAAATGCAAATATCTAAAATTAGTGATGAAAAATGTGACATCAAAACAGATCCAAATGAAATAAAAACAAAGCACACACTACTATGAAATGCTATACCCCAAGTTTGAAAACCTAGAAGAAATTGATGACTACCTAGAAATACACCATCCATGCAAATTAACACAGACAGATGTAGAAAATCTCAACAGACTCAGAAGAAGAAACAGAGAAGAAAATCAGGAAACTTCCAACCAAAACAGCGCAGTACCTCATGGCTTCACAGGGGAATTCTACTAAGCATTCAGTAAAGAGCTGTCACCAATTCCCCACAAACTATTCTAGAATATAGAAAGGGAAA